GCCCACTTCAGCTTTTCAGATGGTCTCCAGCACTCACACCTCCTTCCCCAGGTCTCAGGCTTCACTCTAGAGGGAGAAACCTCGCTAGTGGAATCCCAGACACCTGTCCCTCCAGCCTCCTTGGGACTCCCCCCTTGAGCTCACTGCCCCCTGAGCCAGAGACGACACCTCTGCCACAACTACATTTTTGTCCAAATGTCCTTTTCCCCCCCAAGTGATTTATGATATTTTATTTCTTCAAATATGAAAAAACCCCAAAAAACAGTAGGAGATGTCTTTTCCTTTGTTGCCTTTACTTTATTATTATTTCTGGGACTGTTATTGTAGGGTCTATTTTACAATATAAAGTGCCTTGAGATGACTGTTGTTGTGATTTGGAACTGTATAAATGAAATTGAACTGAATTATTGCCTTTACTTTACCTGCATTTATCTCAATTCTATTATTGCAATTCATTGGAAAGTGGGGTCTTTTATTTCTTTAACTTAACCTGATTCTGTCACAATTACTAGGTAGGACTGAAGCTCAAGTGGAATATTTGTACAGTGAGAGGGGGAAGAGGGGTCCAGAGATTCCGTGGGCAGGTCCAGGCCTGGAGAACAGACATGCTCACACTCACTCCACTCGTGAAAGAAACACACTCGGCCCAAAAGATCCACGCTGTGCCTCAGTCACACTCTCACTCATCCAAAAGGGTTCCAGGAAAGGCAGGCTGGGGTCCAGGGAGGTCTGTACAGGGGAGACGGAGAAACAATGATTAGCCAGAGAACCATAAGCACAAGGAAGAATACAACAGGGAGCTGGGCTACACTAACTGAGAAGAGTACAATGATCCAGTGAAGCCTTAAATGAGATCAGGGCAATCAGCCAGGATGAGCAGGTGAGCAGATAAAGGATGGGAGATCCAGGGAGGCACAGGTATCCAGACGCAGCCCTTGTGGAGAAGGCGAGTACCACCACCAGAGCAGATTCTCTGTGCTGGTTTGTGTCTGACCTCCTGCTCTCCTCATGTGCTTTGGACAGGTCAACATGGCAGCTCCAAAAACTCGAGTGATGAGAGATGTCGATCTCTACAAAGCTGTTGCAGAAATATGCTGTCGCGCAGAGCATGGCTGCACAGATGGTTTTAGTAAGTCTGTGTCACTGAACCACATCACTGTGTACTGGCAGCGCAGAAATACACAGCTGAGTGTGACAGTTTGACACTGGGGAGGCTCAGAGCTCCTTTCACTCTTGTCTCTCTCAAAATCTCGGTGTGATTCTGAAACGCCGGCTCATAGTCGGGTTTGTTTGTGTCATAGCTATATCCAATTAAGCTCATCGCTCCATAATCCCTTTGCTGGTACCAGAGCATCACGTATAAACTGTCATCATCGTGGCTGCATTGGATTTCTACTCTTTCGCCTACGTTGACTATCCTGGACTGAGGTTGCTGGAATTTCACACAGTTGGCTTGATCTGCAGGAAAGAGATTTAAAATGTGGTTAATACTAGTTGACAAAAACAAGTCGAAAAATTCTGAAGGTTGTTATTGTTGAAGAAAAATTACATGTAAATAAGAGCAGGAAAAAAAGTGTGATTCCAGCTGAACACATCTTCCACATCTTCGAGTATGAGACCGACTGCCTAACTTCTCTGCTCTGTGAAGACATGCTTCCTCTGACGTAAGAGCTGAAGAAAAGAAGACGACACTGAGGGACTTTTTGTGAGGGAGCAGTATTAAACCACACCTCTGTGTGCTGGCAGAGTAACAGGTTTGCTGTGGGAATAACCAGAGCTCCTTTTATGTTGTCTTCTCTTTCAAGCTTAAATTCTTCTTTATACTGACCCTCGTAGGTCGGGTCTCCTGTGCCATATCCAAACCCAATGAGGGTCATAGACGGACTGCCTGTTCTTTGCTGGTACCAGAGCATCACAAGGCGGGTCCCGTCACCGTGGCTGCATGCGATGCGGACCTTAGAGCTCACGTTCACAATCTGAGGAAGACTTTGATGAAATATGATGCTGCTGACCAGAGCTGTGGATGTTTGGATACAATTATTACTGCAGTACAAACAAAGAGGACAGTTATAGGTTTATGTATGAGGGAGTGTGAAACTGAGGCTCTTACTTGGAAAGCAGAGGAAGAGAAAGCCAAACGTGTGGATGAAAGGAGACATTGTCATCACTGCTGTGTGAAAAAGTAATGTTTGCTCTGAGTGACTGAGCTCATGTATTTCTGGAATGGGGAGGTGCTCCCCATCCCCGGCTGCCTCCCTCTTCCCGCTCCAACACACCCACACAAGTAGGGCCTTGGGGTGTGGGTGTGTCACCAGGGTGCAGGGGAGGAATCCCCCCCTCCCCCCTCCCCTGTCCCCTTCTGGCCGCCTGTGCCTCAATTTTATTCCACAACTTAGACATCCACATTACTCACACTCTCATAACACATACATATAGGGCCTTGAGGGTGGGCACGTTAACGGCGTCCAGTGGACGTCACCTCTGGCGCCGGTGCCCACTTTTCAATTTTAAATCCATGTAGACATTGAGGGTTCTTGGGAGGGGCCGTGCTAACACCTGCTGCTCTCTGCAGCGGCACCATGCTCTCCCGTGTTTTAAATTTTAAATGCGTGTTTAGAACAACACGCAGCAACACTACACATGAGCAAGAGGAGGGAGGTTTGGGGTCTTCACACACCCCTGTTCTCTGCTGGCCATCGGGGCGGGGGGGCTGGAAGGAGGTGTTGGCCATCCTATTGGGATCTGGGATGCGGGGCCTCCCTGCTGCTGGGGATGCCTGGGGCGGTCTGCTTGCCTCCACCCCGGGGGAAAGGGTAACATCTCCTGGGTCTAGGTGCCATTTCCCCCTCCAGGGGCGAGGGTACCTGGACCCGGGGTATAGAGTCTGTTTGGGGAGTGTGATTGTGTGTACAGTGTCCATGTATGTCTATCCCTATACGTTGGGTGAGTGCTGAGTATTTGTATATGTGTGCATGAGGGTGGGAATGCATGTTTGTGTCTGTGTCTATATGTCAGGTCGGGTCTTACACTCCACCTCTCTGGGAATTCCCCTGTCTCCCCTCACCACACTCCCTGCCGGTAACAGATGCCCTCAGGGGTCGGTGCGTTGGTGGTTCTTGGTGTCCGGGGCTGGGCGCTCAGGTATGTACCAGCTCACTCCTGGTGACTACTTGGCGGGGCCTGGTGCCTGTTGCTCGGTCAGGCCTCTTCCGGGGCAAAGGGGGCCATCGGGCCTCCGGCCTCTGGGCCTGCGGCTCGGTTCACTCTAGCAAAGCTGGCTGCCGGCAGAGCCAGCGGGCACGCCACTGCAGCCCCCTCTGGCTTCTGCTCCGTGGCTACTGGGTGACCCTTCATCTGGGGCTCTCCTCTGATCTTCCCATGAGGGTGGCACGGATGCCCCTCCGGTGGTCCTCCTTGGGCTCTCGCACTCTGGGGCCTCTGGAAGTCTGGAGCCTGGATCTCCTCCATGCCTGCTTCATGCCATGGGGGCGGGGCTATGGCTCTCTACATCCTCTAGCAGACCATTACATGGGGAAACCTTTTGAATACAAGCGCGCTGATCCACACAGGTGTGCACACGGGTGTTCACTGTTCATAGACATAAACTACACCTTTATAGTCTGCTATTTCCAAGCACTTTGTGCGCTGTCGGTCCTGCTTGCTACACAACCAGTGTGTGAATGTGTGTGTGAATGGGTGGATGACTGGATATGTAAAGCGCTTTGGGGCCCTTAGGGACTAGAAAAGCGCTATATAAACACAGGCCATTTACCATTTTTATTTTTTACAACAACATTCAATATTTAGTATTTACTGCTGTTTACACTTAGCTAGATTAACGTGATGGTGTTGTGTTTAGTATGTTGCTCTGTTTTTTTGCTTGTTTTCTCTTCTTTTTCTCTCAACAGGTGATCCAGGAGGTTTTTTTCCTCTTCTTTCTCTTTTTAAGTGCCCTTTCTCACTGTCCCTCTTACCCTCTGTTTTTCTTTTTCTTCATCTTTCTTTCTCCCTTTCCTATCCCTCAGTCATGTCTGTCTGTGACAACTGAAAATAAAATAAAATAAAATAAATAATAACAACAAAGATTGATCAAATGGACCAATACGGCAAGGGTATCATTGGGTATCCTTGTTGGTCTTCAAACAATAATTCTGACGGCTAAAGAACCAAATGGGACAGGAAAAAAAAAAAAAGGAACGGGGAGGTGCTAATTCATCAAGCCTCTATGCTGCGTGCTCTACCTCCACCTGTTGGCTGAATCTAACCTTTAATAGACTCTGGAATCGTTTATTTTGATAAGTGGATCATAGTTATACTAAATGACATGAAAAAGTGGAGATATTACAGCATCTGAACATGAGAAAGAGCAGGGCCATCATATCGTTTTTTGGGTGGTTACACTATGGGACTTAACAATTGTGGGATTTGTTCTTCCAAAAGCCACTCTGTCCCCCCTCCCTCCCCCCACCACACACACACACACACACACACACACACACACACACACACACACACACACACACACACACACACACACACACACACACACACAAGGAGGACCTTAGTTTAACATATGTTTTATATATAGCACCAAATTGATGGGGTTAAATGCATAACCATGGTACCCATCTGAACTGGCTTGCAACATCCTAAAAAGAAACCCAAACAACCCTCAGGAATAGCACTAATTAGATTAATCTTTTCTTCATTGTGTGGTGTAGGTGTGAACTAAAAACATTCGATTTAACAGAGAAATATAACTGTCCTGAGTCGAGATCCAGGAGTCGTGTACTTGGACTAAACATTCCACAGAGGCTAAAACCTATCAGTGAAAAGGCTCAACCACCAGAGTGTGTCTGGCCTGTTCTTCTTATCATCAGAAGTTGTGACGTGGAGGGTTTCAGTAACACATTACATACACTGGACCTGCAGAAAGAATTAGCTTCCTTTTCTGTGCCTGACCACAGGAGCTGTTAAACTCACACTGAATTGCTGGTTGGACTGATTTAGGAACACTCATTCACTTCTTTTACTGTAAACTTTGAATTCACACAGAATAAAATTGCTGGAGGATGACATGACTTGCCATAGTTATGTTAATATAGTACATAAGCACACACATAATCATTTTTTAATAGATTTTATTTTCACCTTTACAGTTTCCCAAATAAGCATGGAAATTATAATATAGACCAGTTAGTCTATAAGTAACATTAAAAACTACAAAGAGCGTTGAATGCTTAAAAACCGTTACCTTTTATTGACTACCAGAAGCTTGAACCACATCATCATTACCCCTCAGCTGTAAAAGGCTTGTGGGGTATCGCTTTAATTATATTGTTTATCAGTCTGTACTGTTATGGAGGCTAAACTGAAGCATCGTTGAAGGAAAAAAGCTTCTCATCTCAGTGCTTCCCAACCTCATCACATGATACCAGTGGTTTACCATCTGTTAGCATATGCAGTTTTTGTAAGAGAGAGGAGCTGCATTCATTACTGTGCTACCTTGCGGCACTAAAGTACTCTGCGCTGTGTTCAGGGTGTCTCGGTCTCAGGATGTGAAGATCCACTGCACTCTCTCCATTTCCACTAATGTTGAACTGACCTACAAATGATGGTTCAATAGTTGGAGACTGATAATACATGAAGCCAATCAGCTTCAGAGCAGTGTCTCCTTTGGAGCGCTGATACCACAAAATAGTGTTAAAGTTTTGGTTTTTATGTTTGCAGGTCAGCCTGACTTCCTCATTTGGCGGCTTCAGGAGCTGCTCTGGAGTTTGAAGAACCTTTATTTCTTTATCGAGGGACACTCCTGTAGAGAACCAAAGAAAAGTTGACAGGTTATAAATTGATGGCATTTCTTTTGAAGGATTCTATGCTCATTGAGACAACTGCTAATTATAGGATTAGAATAAAAAGTATAGAAAATGCAGTTCAATCTGAGAATATGAAGAATTAAAAGAGGGTTTATTGGCTAATTGATAATTAATAATACGATTAGACATCAGAGAGTTTATAAACCCTATCCCTAACTCTCTCTATTAACCTCTTTAAATGACCTGTGCTTGTGCGTACATTCTCCTGGACTCCCTATTTAAAATAACAGCTATTAGCAACTTTAATTCCTAATCTTTTAGAACCTGGTCTGTATTGTCCCGTGTCTTGCTGTCTTGTAGACGGACTCAGAGGGAGGGAAATACTGAAAATCAGAACTAATCACCCTAACGTGGCTGCATCTAGAACATGTCTCTGCTGAAGGCTGACCATGGAAGGGCAAAATAATTGGAAATAACTAGTTCAGATGCTTTGCAGCACTTAATTTTCCAATAAAAGATTAACCCTCTGTGGTCCTCATTGATGACAGAATCAGAGACTTTATTTATCCCCAAGGGGCAATTAATATACAACAGAGCAGCATGACGTTAAAAATGAGGACAGGGCATAAACAGACAATAAGAGTGAGATAAAAAAATACTTAAAATATACAGTATGTACACAGTTTTTAAATGACAGTGACTGAATAAGTGAATAAAAAACTATAAGTGACTAACAGTGAATAAAGTGTTGGCAGTATACAAAAGAGTGTCGAGTAGTAGGAAATAAGACCGACAGGAAATAATCTCAAGTCGAACCTCTAAACTATCTATTGGACAACAAGTAGAAGAACTCTCTACATAAATAACACAAACTGTTTTTGATATATTTCAGTCACAATGATTTTTGTTACCTGAATGCAAAGACACTGGGGAAAGGACAGCGAGCTATTGTTAGAACTGAGGATTCAGACTTCAGGGTTTAAACTAAAAGTCTGATCATTGGTAAAATACTTATTGAACACTAATAAAACCAGTAATTGAATGCAATTATGAATGCCCAAATTACAAAGTTTTATAGTTTTTATACAAACAGAAAACATGGAAACCACTTCTAAGTCAAAATTCTAAAGGACAGAGAGTCTCTATGAATACCTGTAATGCAGATGATGATGTGTATGAAGAGATGAGACCAGTTCATGTTGAATGTGATAAACCAGCTCGAATCCCAGCTGAACTCAAGCATTTGAAAAGGACTAGAATTCGCTGTATCTTTCTGTCAACTTCTCCAGCGCAGCTCCTCCCACTGTCTGCAAAGGTTTGTGGGCATGTGGTTTGCTGCAGGTGTTCAGGGTCAGATGAAGGTTTTTGTAGAGGAATTTCAGGCTTTTCTGCTGTGGTGGGACTAGAAACTGCACAGAAATAATGCCCGCTGTTTTCAGGGTGCCTGAGTTTGCCCAAGTGCAGGAATGCTTCAACCTCTCCATTTCCACTCACGCTGAATAAGCCCTCATAGGGTTTCTCCACAGTCTGAATTTCCTTATAACTTGTAAAACCAACTAGCTTCAGAGAGGTGTCTCTTGCTGGGCGATGATACCACACAATAGTGTCGTAGCTCTTGACTTTGTGTTTACAGGTCAGCTTGTCTCCATCAGTTATGTTCTTCAGGAGATCAGTCGGAGTCTGATGAACATTTTCATTTTGATTTGGTGATGCCCCTGTAGAAAAAATACTAACGTTAAATCAAATCTTGTCATGAAACTTGCAGCATTGGGCAGACAGAAATAAATTAAGTAAATAATTACCGTTGATCCCCAACAGTGCAATAATAACTGATATTAAAAAACTGTTCATGTTGAAAACCACAGCTGCTGACTGACAATAACTCTGAGTCTGGTGCAGGAAAGGGAGGAGACAAAGTGGCAACAGCATCTCACCACGATGATGAAGTCTCACGTCAGCACCAGTTAAAGTGTAGCCGTCTCATCTAGAATGTAGAAGAAGTTAAAAGTCAAGTCTCATTTTTAGGGGACAGCGTACTGTGAAAAGATTTTATATTGAGGTGCTCCAAAACAAGTGAAAATTCTCTGAAAATGGAGTTTTGGTGAATACTAGAGAGATTTACTGCACTTAATAAATTAAGAGGAAATAATTAATTTTGTCTGACAGAAAATCAAACAAAAAAACAAAGTTTAAACCTTTAAACTTCTGATGTGGATGGGCACTGTTGTCTGCATAGAGCCAGGAATCGAACCACCAACCACCACAACCAATTGGTAGATTACCTGCTTCTATACCGACCCCATTATAATATACAAAGAACGCATTTTGAATCGAAATTGCTAAAAAGAATGACTATTCATCTCTGTGCATCTCTACAGAGGTTTCTCTTAAAAGGGAGCTTTTCCTTCGCTGAGTGGTTTTCCCTGTATTATTGTAGGAAGAGGAACACAATAATTATATATAGTGTGAAAATGCATATTACAAATTAGTTACATTATTTGCAGTGTCCTTCAACCTACCGCCTACTGGTGTTGGCCAGAGGGACCGATGGCGCGATATGGCAGCCTCGCTTCTGTCAGTCTGCCCCAGCTGTGGCTACATGTGGTTTGCCTGCACCAGTGTGTGAATGTGAGAGTGAATGAATAGTGGAATTGTGAAGCGCTTTGTGTGCCTAGAAAAGCGCTATATAAATGCAATCCATCATTATTAAAACAAAAAAATGTTGGTGAGTAAAATGAATATCTAGTAAAAAGAAAATGTAAACATGTAATGTGCCTTCAGCACACGTCTCACCCTCTTGTTCACATTTATATATGTATCTGTGATCAGAAAAAATAGAATACCTTATAAGATAAGAAGCTTATTTTCATGTTATTGCTGTGTCATGGTACTTTTTCCATTGGCTGAACAAAATGATTTTTTAAAACATTCAATTGCTTGGAGAAAATGCCAATTTGGAGTCCATCCCCATCCACTGCTAGAGATGGCCTAGAATGAATATCAAAGCAAACAAGTTTTATTTGGTACAACACATTACAAAGAATGTTAAAATGAAATCATTGAACAAATAAATGACTTTTTACTATTACAAACTGATTTTGCACTGTCACATTTGTTTCCACACTATTGCCCCAGTTATGTAAATTTCAGTCTCAGCTGATTCCAAGTCATTATTTGGTTAATGCGTGATAACTAAATAGTATTGTCACACATTATTAGCCCGCCGTAGCCATGTTAGTGAGGTGTATTAGAAAGAGCTGTCAGGATTTTTTCCAAGGAACCCTATGAATGCTGCTGGAAACACACACCAACCTTGCTGCTGTATTTCTGCACAACATCTTAGGGAAAGAACAGACTTAATAGGAAATAAACCCAAATGAGAGTCACAGAAACAGGTGCCTGCTCCTCTGTGCCATCTACAAATCTATCAGCACTGGAAGCCTGTGCTTTGGGGTTTTTTGTAAATACCAGAAAGATTTTGTCTCACCGTGCAAAACGAGCTGCACAATAGTACACTGCACTGTCTTGAGCTCCTGTCAACCGGATTATTAGTGAAACATTTTTTATATCACTTGTACTAAGATCTCCACTGATCTTGAAATTCTGTTTATATGTCTCTTCCACTGTGACATCCCGATAGTTGATATATCCAATGCATTTCATATCTGTCTGGCCAGCTGGCTGTTGGTACCACAGCATCACTCTGTATTCAGTTAGATTGTGGGTGCAGACTAGCTGCACCATGTCATCGGGCTTTTTGATGAGAGCAGGGGGAGTCTGATGGATACCCACACAGCAATCTGGAGAGAACATAAGAACGTTTTTTCTTATTATATATTATTTGCAATGAATAAATGAGAGAAGGAATATGAGTCAGTACCTGCTAGAAAAAAGAAAAAGAGAAAGCAGATCATTTTAATGTCTTCTATAATGGAGAGCTCCTCCTCAGTTTTGTCACATCAGCTTGTGTTTCTGAGGTCTGAGGAGGAAAGAGGATGAAGGGGTGTGGGTAATGCACAGCATGACTCCACCTCCTAACATGTGAATGGTCACCTGGTTCTTGGTTGTTCCTTCCTGTTTTTTAAGATGAGAACACTTTAACATATTCTTGTGTACATTTTTATATCAGGTGTTGGTATTAATCTAAAATTACACTGAAAAGATTACAGCCAAATGTTCTGAAAAGTAAGAATGGCTCCACCATGTGGCATTTCACAGCATAACTCTCTCTCTCTCTCTCTCTCTCTCTCTCTCTCTCTCTCTCTCCATGCATATACACAGAGATGGGCAGTACTACTTTTACTTTGATTACTTTGATTACTTTTTTCAAGTAACGAGTAAAGTAAGGGATTACTATTGCAAAAACGGTAATTAGATTACCGTTACTTTCCTGTAGGAACGCTGCGTTACTGCGTTACTAAAGCCGTGATTTCTTTGCGAGAATGTCTCATGACAGTGACGTAAGCAAGTGCGGCGTTCGTGACAACAGCTGTGTGCAGATCAACAATGGATCACATATCGAGTGCGGGAGAGAGTATGAGCGTGCAGCGTTTAAAGCGTGGAAGTACTGACCTTACTTTGAGTTTGATTCCATAAAAAGTGACAAAAACATTAGTGTCCGCTGTGCGTGGGAAGAAAACTTCTTTTTACAGCGAAAAAAAAACTCCTAAACAAGCACCGAGTGCTACGACGTAATGGGAAACTCACAGAGAAACTCGCGGATTCTTCCACTGACCCGCGGCACACCTGCACCAGGGTAAACCTCCGCCTACCCCACTCCTGCTTTACAGGTGAAAATAGAGCAACAGGACCGCTGAGTCTTTGACTTTATTTATTTTCTGCTGTGTTTTACTTGCATCTATTTGAAAGACTGAGTGTAAACACAAAAAATATTTTATTTTATGTGCTGGAATGTGCAGAAAATAGGTTTAAATGTTAAACTAATTTATTCAAGTCAGAGAATGTTGCATATAATTAAATTTTTGCTTGATGCATAAAGTTAAAAGATTAAAACTATAAAACAAGTTAAAAAAAAGAGACTTTTCCATTTGATTACATTTTGTATGATGGATTATGTAGAAAAAGTAGAATTGGGCTGAAAGATCTATCGCTTTATCACCTCTTCAGGTTGTAAATCGTGTTTTTAAAAAGTAACTAAGTAACTAAGTAATTAATTACTTTTGAAAATAAGTAATCAGTAAAGTAACGGGATTACTTTTTTGGGGAAGTAATCAGTAATTAGTTACTGATTACTTTTTTCAAGTAACTTGACCAACACTGCATATATATATATATATAAAACAACAGCAGGAACCCAATGCAATGGACTGAAACAGAGAAAATATCCATTGAGTGGCAGTTTCCTGGGGTTTTCCTGGGGTAGGAATTAACCTCTGTTAATGCCAGAGGTCAGAGGAGAATAGTCAGACTTTTCTGAGCTGATGGGAAGGCAGTCGTATATCAAATAACCACTTGACAAAATCAAGATATGCAGAGGAGCATCTCTGAATACACAACATGTTGAACCTTGATATAGGTAGATTTACAGTGGCAGAAGACCACATCAGATGCCGCTTGTGTCAGAACAAGAAAAAAAGGCTGGAATCAACCTGAAATACTGCCAGAGCTACCCCTCAGCATAGCTAGTAGATGCAAATCCTATATTTAGTATTAGAGAGTATCAATCCCACCCAGACTCTTTGGAGGAGGTGGTCTTGATACAGTTCCAAATCAACTCCAGAGTGGTTCATTTATGGCATGAATTTGATCCAACTCAAATGAACTATCGAGTGGACATTGTGTCACGGCGAGTGAAGTGAGCCGTGTGGAGATAATGAAGTAGGATCCAAACGCAGGCACTTGTAAAGGTGTGAAGGTGGTTTATTGAAAGTAAAGTACAAAATAGAAAAACGGTCAAACTGGACTGCAGACTATCTGAACTGGGAACAACTAAACTACGAAACATGAACCAGGACACAAACATGAAGAAGGATGGGCGGAGGTAAGTGATGACGGACAGCAGGGAGAACACACGGATGAAACACGATGGATACATAGACCTTCAAAATAAAACAGGAAACAAGAAACCACTTGTGGCGGGGCGTGGCCTGCGGTGCCGTGCAGAGGAGGCGGACGCACCTGCACGGCATCCGCAATCACGCCCCGCCGAATTAAATATTGTACTGGGTCCTGTGTATGGGGTTGTTGTGGTAATGTTGAGCGGGCAGCGGGAGAGCTGCAGCTCTGTGTGCGTTGTAAACAGCAACCGGCTAAGTATTAATAAAAAGCATCAAAATGCCACTGGGTCTGCCGTGTATGTTTACACCACTAAACAAAGACGCAGACAGAGAGGCAGACAGAATATAACACATGCAACTCAAACAATACATGAAACAACAAATCCTTAAACGGGGATAAACAGAAACATGGAACTCTAATAATAATAATCATCATAGCATCAGAGAAACAAAACAATCATTCAAAAATAAAACAAAACATAAGAACTCAAAATGCTGGGTCGAACCTGACCCAGAACTGTGACACATTGCAAACTTCCGTGACACATTACCTTGATCGCAAATTGACAGTTTCCCAATATTCAGTCATCTTTGTTGAGTTTTGGTATAGCCTGGCAGGTATCTGCATCAGTGTGTGAGCTGACAGCACAGAGATACACACCACTATCACTTGGCTCCAGATGTTTCACTGTGAAAGCTCCGCTCTCACTTACAATCTTGTTGGCTGAATACTTTTCTTGACTAAAGTTTCCAAAGTCTGGGGCCTTGTAAGGCAGCATGTGGACAATCAACCTCAAGCTCTCCCCTGGTAACTGCTGAAACCAGTACATATGGTAATAACTGCCATGCAGATTGTGATGGCAGTACATCTGGGCAGAGTCACCGGTTTTCAGGAGTAAGGTAGGGGTCTGTGTGACATCGTTAGTCCATATAACAGCTAGAACCAAGCACATGAACAAGTATTTTTTAACGTGAACTTTAGCAATATATGTGTTTTAAGAAGAAAAAGATACATTTCTGGGCATAAAGATCTTAAAACCATACCTGCAGTACAGAGGAGAGAAACAGTGCTGATGATAAATGGTGACATCATTCTCAACTCTCAAATGCCTCTCACAGCGAAGTGACAACTGATTCCCTCTTAATTTCTTCTGTCACAT